ACTTGGTTGAGGCTATCTCGCACAAATGGACTTAATTCTAACTGCAGTGTTTAGCGGGTGAAAAGACATACGTACATTGAAGCTTCAACAAGCACCACCAGGTTAAATCAATTATACCAGTAGAATTTCCCCTGATTACATCCGTCATTACCAATTGAATCATACAAACACAGTTGAATCATACAAACACAGCCAGTGCCTGTGTGAATTCCTCAAACTGTATCTGTCTAAGCTTGCTGTTCTAAATAAACCGGGAGAAAACAAACCTGAAACATTGCTTTGAGCAGATGGTACATAATCTTGAAAATGCACATCCAACTTGTGCGGTGCCAGTATTACCAGCAGATTTCAACACAAATCTGACATCAGATAAGCAGGTCCAATATTTGTCAAGAGATTGGCAGAATGTGGCACTGCAGTCTCAAAGATTGACAATGCCGACAACACGAGATGAGTCAAAACTAAAACAGTAGTACAACTCAAACTTAGAGTGCAGAGTAGTTACACAATACCATAACAATAAGCAACAAGTGTCTGCCCATTGCCTAGAGTGTACAGTTTGACCATAATAATAATAATAATAATAATAATAATAATAATAATTAAGTACTGCCATATGGACTGAAGTAACCAAACAAACTGCTTGAAAGAATGATACTTGAGAGTTGAAGCATCAACATAGTGGACACAAATAAAGGAGGTAGTAGCAACTGGGAATTGAATCTTGTATCAAATCTCCTGTCTGCTCCAAGGTGACCTTCCATCAGTAGCGGTCATCATATGAGCGAGCACCCTGAGTGGGACGATCATAGGGAGCAGGCCTATCTCGGTAACTCGCGCCAAGGCGAGCAGGTCCACCACTCCCATATCTGTCACCATTCGCCACACGTGGACCACCCCTGCCATAAGCACCAGTGCCTCTAGGTTCATCACGGTAATAACTTCCACCTGGCCGCCCTCCATCTCTCTCATAGCTTCTTTCCCTGGCAAAGCCACCTGATGCATAACGATCACCACCACCATATCTATCGCCAGAAAAACGATCAGCAGCTGGAGGATAGCGATCGCGTCCACCACCATAACGATCATCAGCATAGCGGCCACCATCATAACGATCATCAACATAGCGATTACCAAAACGGTCTGATCCTCCAAAGCGGTCACCACGCCCACCAGCGCCATTGCCATACCTGGAAGGGGGAGAGTACCTTCCAGGCCTGCCTCCATCAGAATAAAGACATTCACGAGCCCAGTGTCCAGGGCGTCCACACTTAAAGCAATCATCACTTGCAGTGGGTACTATGTCAGCTGCACCACGATATCCACCTCTAGCACCAGATGAGTAACTACTACCCCCATATCCATAGCCACCATCATCACTGTTCATCCTAGGTTGAGCTTTGTTCACAGAAATGGTCCGACCATCTAGTTCTCCATTGTGCATTTCCCGGATCGCAACATCCACAGCCCGAGGTTCCGAGAATGTAACAAACCCAAACCCACGGGAGCGGCCTGTGTCTCTTTCTGTTACAACCTATACATACAATGAAAGTGAACTCATGGGAAGATAGTAACTGCATATAATAGTGAACAGACAAAAATATCCAACACTAGCAACAGCATGCACATGCAAATCGGGCCATAGGGAAATGAAGACAGCTGGTAAGTATGTCAAGCATGGTAACCAGTGAAACTATCTCACAAGACTGGAGGAACACAGTCAATCTTTACGCCACTGCTCAATTATTATAAGTAAATGTCACTATCTCCTTTATCTGCCCCAAAAATGCTATCCAGAAGGCATACTATGGGCAACAGGTCAGAACTGGAAGCATGTGACACTGTGACCACAACAATGCCATCAATGAGTCATAGAAGATATCAGTTGCGCTGACAAAACAAACCGAACACTTCCATGTGCCGCTCATGTGCGACACGAATGAGTAAACTCCACATCCAACAAATTGGACGAGGCCAGTTACTTTGGTTGGTGCTACAGGCACAAAACAATAACTTTACACCTGAAGTTCTAACACGAAGCTAATCGGACCTTCCTTAGTCTGCCACATTCCTTCAGGAAAACATAGTTGCAATACCTAAAGGCATCCTTATCAATCACTGCTCTTTGTTCATGTACGGGTAAGTGTGTCCATTTGAAGGGAAAGGGGCATTTGAAGACTGAGAACAATGGCCTTCCAAGTGACTGTAGGAATAAAATAGCACACAACACTCACTCTGAAGCATCACCTGTAATAAATCACTAGCCAAGGACAACAAAGAAAGCTGCATCTGCCTTTCATATCAGAACTGATCCAGAGCATTGCCATTATGCAGCAAAACTTGCATTAATTTCATATCCAACACTGCAGTCATGTTTAGCTCTGTAGAATTGATTAGCCATGGCAATGGAAATTTGTTTGATGTAACCTCACACTGACATCAGTCAGCTTAAACACTACCTATGCCATGGCAAAGGAGGAGCACTGCTTCTGCCCAAAAAACATCTACCAAATTCACTAACAGTATCGTTACTTCATATTGAATTTTATACGACCCATCACCGCAAAAATGTATAACAATGAGCTCAAATTGACTAATATGTTTCATTTCCTTCAACTTCAATAACTTCCTAAAATATAAAACTGGAGGTGACTGCAGGCTCTGTGAATCAGTAACTGCTATTAGATTGAAATTAGAAAACAAGATAAACTCAATAGCGTTTTGCTAACAGCATAAACAAACAATTAACACACCTAGGCGTCATAACTTGCTAATAAACACAGCTATGCTTGGAAATTCGTTCAGAAATAGGTTAATAATATAATCATCATCATACTTGCAAATGAGGTGGTTCCACCTAACACTGAATGAACCATAAAGAAAGTAAGAACTGTCCGACCTGAAATTGTTTATCAGATCACGCTCTTCCAGACACCCCTAAGCAACAATAATAACGTAACATAACAGAATCATGCACCGAGTAACCATCAGGTCCAAAAACAAGCCATCAAAGTTCTATCAACACAGCTAACCAAACATTACTAAAT